GGTGCTGGGGGATTGAACCGCGGTCCCTGATGCTTTTGCTAAGCTTGTTCTAAGTAGGTGCTTTAGACCACTGAGCCATCTCTCCAGCCCCGCAGTTTGATAATTTTATTATGTGGTTCTGCCCGAGCTCACTGGCAGATGAGCCACCCTGAGGTTCCCAGGCGAGTATTGGGTGCTCATTCCTCCTCCATAAGACAGCTCAGGATTCCGGGCAAGCTCCAGCTTATTTATCTGCATAATTAGCTGTTTCCTCTTTCTCTGAGCTCAGGCGGCAGATGCTGCCCTTCAGAGACCTTCGGGTTTACTCTCCTGACTCCGGGTGGGTGTGGACCGGCCCTCACTTGGGCATAAGTGCGTTGTGTGCGAGCTCCACCGGATGTCCTGAACCGGTGGCCAAGGTTTGGTCCTGTTTCCTCTGCCCCTGAAGACAGGAGGGTGCCCCACCCCCACCCCCTTGTGGGAACTGAAGTCACACTTGTTTGCTGAGCTCAGGGGTAGCAAGCACTGCCCTATTGGTGGCAGACAGGGACGGAACCTCCTTGTGACAGGGAAGTTGCTACCCCTCTCTGATAGGTTCTGGCCCACGTATGAATGTCTGAATTATTATGGTGGTCATCTCATAAGGCTGAAGCCCTTAAAACAGCAGCTCATCTTCCCTGAGACCACCTCCCGCTTCTTCTCCAACTTGGCCCAGGGTGCAGTTTCCTTTCACCTTTCCTGCTACCTCAGGGAAGACCCCAGTCAGCTCCTCGGGGATTTCTAAACATCCCTCAAACTCCACCCCTGGCAAAAGGTCATAGAAACCTCAGCCTCCCTTTGTTCCAACTCAGAGAATCTTTTACCTTTCCAGATTCTCTTCCTGTCCTCAAAGATAGTAAAGCCCCTTTCCCTTTTTCCTTCTACTTCTGTTTCTCTGCTGTGACGTCCCCTGAGAAAAACCTATCATATTCCTGGGAAAGCCTGTCGTTCTCAAAGTGCACGGAGGGACAATGTGCAAGATGGTGGGCGCTGGAGGCAGCAGAGGTGCGCACAAGCGAGAGGGGCCACAGAGGTCTCTTGCTGCCAGAAATGCATCTGTAGAAAGCGGCTGATAGAACTGTATTGCTTTTAGTACAATCACAGTCGTATATGTGCACATTACAAGCTGAAAGCTGATGGGTGTGGAGGTGCATGCTTGTAATTCCAGCACTTGGGAAGCTGAGGCAGGAAGCTGAGGCAGGAGGATCACCTTAGGTTCTAGTCAGTCCGAATACCATAGTCAGTTTAAGGCCTGCCTACGATACACAGCAAGGTCTTTTCTCAAATATGCCTTCCCCTCCAAAGCCAAAATGTTGTGGTATTTGTAGACGTCTATTCGGGACCGCATTACTGACAATATCTAAGAGAGAGGGGCAACCCAAGTTGGGTGAAAGGCTAAGTCGAACATGGAACATCCAGAAGGAAGTTGTGACACTGGCTTCGATCTGGATGAACCTGGGGAACATTATGCTCAGTGAAGTAAGACAATGTAAAGAGATGAATTTGGGGGGCAGGGGGAATAAGTGTTTGCCTGGCAAGCACAAGGTCCTGAGTTTGATCCCTGGTACCACACACACAAAAAAAGGATGGATGAATTATTTTATTCAGAGGAGACAGGGTATACCATGTAGTTCAGGCTGTCCCTGAACTCATTGTGTAGCCCAGACTGACCCTCCCACCTCAGCCACCTGAGTGCTGAATTACAACTGTTCATGTCAGAATGATGGGGCTGGGGGCTGGGGAGGGGGCAGGAGTTAGCATTTGATAGGACAGACTTTCCGTTTGAGAGGGAGGTGGGTGTGGGAATTGCACACAGTGGTGTGTGTGCAATGGGTGTGACAATGGGTGTGCTCAGTGCTATTGACCTGCACGCTTAGAAGTGGCTAAGACAAGGAATTTCACATTCTGTGTGATTTACCCCAGTAATGCAATTGTAAACCAGATAGCATTTATTTTCAAGCATAAGAAAAGAATATGAAGAGCCAGCCAAATAGCTCAGTGGATTAAAGCACCTGCAAGCAGGTACAGGAGCCAGAGGTTCGATCCCCGGGCCTGCCTTGCTGGCCCCAGCCCCGGGGCCCACTGAGATGCAATTGAGCCTGGGTGTGGTGGCGCATGCCTATAATCCCTGCTCTTGGGAGGCTGTAAACAGGTGGATCACTATGAATCCAATCTAATGGTGAGACCTTGAGCACCCTGTAGACCCTTCCCTAAAATACAAAAAAAAAAAAAAGAAAAAAGATTATGAGTCACCTTTTTCTGCCTACCTTCCTGTGGCATTGCTGAGGGTCACCTTAGAAAAGAGGGAGAGGAGCTGGGGATGCTGCCTTAAGGGCTGGATCTGCCCCGGCCATGAAATTAGGCAGGGGAGGGACAGGGCAGCCCTGAAAGGTGGCAGCAATCTCTGCAGGTTCGGCTGAAAATGCGTCAGCCCTTACACTTTCAAAACAAAGTACACTGAGAGAGACTGCGTTCCTGTCTGCTCCCCAGTTTGCTTGTGGCTCTCACAAAGGTGATAGCCAGTATAAGAGGGAAGGGAGGGAGGGAAGGAAAGAGAGGGAGAGAGAGAGAGAGGGAGAGAGAGAGAGAGAGAGAGAGAGAGAGAGAGAGAGAGAGAGAGAGAACTGAGAACTTCGTTTTATTTTTGCAGCACTGGGGATTGAATTGAATTGGAGATTCACCCTGAATTACTTTCCTAGACTTTTTATTTTTTATTTTGAGACAGGGTCTCCCTACATCCCTAAGTTGCCCGGGCTGGGCATGAAATCATGACCCTCCTGCCTTAGCCTCCAGAGTGCAGGGATTCTAGGTGTGTGCCACCATGCATGGCTTATTCAAGTTTTCAAAGCTTTCATTCTTTCACATAATAAACCTTCTTGACAAGTGGTTTGCTTTTCTGTAGCTCAGCTGTGGTTTAACAGTCTGCATCAGAGCTTCCTAGGTTCTGTGTTTAATGGCTCTTCTTTCTTGGATGAGCAGCATGGTCACCATGCTTCCAGAAGGGCTCAGTGACCTAAGCCAAGTGTCTCTTGTCCTGCATCCTATTGGGGGAGGCTGTTGATATGTGCCTCACACGAAGGTTAGGCATGGAGCCTCCTTTAACACTGTTCCTGGGCAAGGGATACGGTGGTGTGTGCTGCTTCATTTCTGGTCTGCTCTTGGTGACCTGGCCCCACCCGGCCAGGTGCAGGGACCCCACTGGCCCTCCTGGGACAGAAGCAGTCTGCCCTGCATAGGGCCCTGATGCAGGTTCTCGCTTGCACTCTGGAGCACTTGTGTGTCGCCATGATCACCTCTGCAAATACCTGGCCATCAGTGCCTCCCCCCATGGAACAGGTCTCAGGAGTCATGCCTTGTGACCAAAGACACTCTAAGGTCCCCACCCTGCCCGCGTC